CTTCTTGGATGGATGCGTGTAGGGAGGCCGCTTGAATCTTAAACTCTTTGAGGTCTGTGGGCTTAGGGCCTTGTGGTCTGTGGTGGGAACCCCCAGGCCATATGAGAAAACCTCCGCGCTCCAATCCCGAGCTCGTCCAAGGTAAGCAGGCCTGGCACTCATCCCAAAACCCCAGCCCCGAAGCCCTAATTCCTACCCCATCCAACATCAGAATCCTTGTGAGGCTTTAAGCCCTAGGACCTGCAGTCATACACACAAGTCCATGCAACAAACTTCTTGCACATAGACTGTAAACCCTCCCAAGTCAATGCTGGAAGTCATAAGACGCACCCTCCCCCAATCTAACATGGAAACGCAACACACCCCTCTGAAATGGACGTAGTCTTCGTTGGGCCTCTTCGATGTGAGTTTTGTGGAGTCCCAAACCATCCTGGCCAGGCATCCGTAAGCTCAAGAAGCCATAGCCGTCGATCTTCGGAGGCTTCTGGAGCAAGGTGTTGTTTTGTTTCTTTCACGCATTTATCTCGGATGTTTCCTCGTATTTGGGAACTCCCAACAAAAGAGGGTTTCCTTCATGGTTTCCTGACAGTCCTGCTGAAACAACACGAACATCTTGCAGGTGCCTGCAATTATGGTAGTGCCAATTTGATTTGTTTGAGCTTTGGGGTTCAGGGCATCCAGGTCTACTGTTGACGCTCAGAGGTTCGCTCTCGGTGCTTCGCAGGCTTGAATTTTCTAAGTGAGAGGCAACCTTACGCGTCGACTTCCCAACATGACCAGTTTCCTTCGCAGCTTACTGTATCTTGGTATCTTTTCTGGGCTGCCTCCTGCTGGCTGCTCTTCTGAAACAAGTTGGAGCCTAGAACGTGGTCACTCCGATCAAGGCACTAAAAGAGACTGCATTTTCATTCGAGGGGACCTGCCTTGGCCACACAGTTTCTCCAGCAGAAAGTGAAGGTTTCAACTGGGTTACTGAGTTGGTAGAATAGCTTATTGCGCGACTACTTGGGTAACTGGAGTCCATGGTGAAGCACCAGCAGCATGTTCAAATAGCAAGGTTCTGGCACAGCCCTTACCGACTAATGGAGCCTAGTATGGAAGATGGTCCCGCAGATTCTTCATGTTGGGCTGTGGTGTTTTTGAATTTCAGCCAGAGCAGCTGCTGGCAGGTTTCATCTAGTGTCTCCTCGATCCACCTTCCGGAGACTGAGAGTCCAGAGGCCCCGCGAGGATGTGATGTCTCCCCGCTTAGGGTTTGTTGTTTGGGGCTTACGGTGGAGCTTTCAAGTGTTCTCTGGTCTCCCTTGTTGGTGTTGTGCACCGGAGTTGCAGATTGTACAGGGTTGACTTGAGGTGATTGCTTTGAGGGTTCCATGGGTTTTTGCGTTATTGGTCTTTTGCTTGATCCTCACGATGCTGACTGCATTGTCTTTGCAGTAGACATTGTCTTTGCAGTAGAGGGGGCAAGCGGGTTCTTCGCACAGACCTAATTACCAAAACATGTAGTATGCAGCCTTCAACAAACATGCAACCGACAGTTTCTGACAAGATCAGTTCGGATCCCCCCAGACAGCTAGATTCAGGTAGATCTTCAGATCCTAGATCCCAACCCGACACTCTTTGCCCAAGTCCCAATCCCTAGAGCCTGCCAGCCCACACCCGAACCCTAAGCATCCTCCTGATCAGGTGGTTCCTCAAGTGTTCTCCCCTGCGACCAGCAGAGCAATTCTAAGCGACGGGGCTCTCAGACAGGAGGGTGTGAGGGGGTTGGCAGGGGCAGAATTATGTGGTGATAGGAATCAGGGCTGATCAAGCTCACTTGTCGTGCTTGCATGATTGTCGCTAGGCTCAATGGTTAAAGTGATCCCGGCAAGACTCCAAAGATGTGAGCTTCCATGCTATGAGACCATAGCCCCAAGGTACACAATAGACCGCAAATTCTGAAGCTTAATCCTAAACCTTATACTCTTCACCCTTTGAACTGCTGTGGCATCAGGATGCTGTGAATGATATCTTCTTACACGACGGTCAAGAGAAGGCTTGAGGCTTAGGGCTTAGGTTGTCCATAGCGTTTAGGTTCAGGGGCTCTAGCCTCCCGCGCACCTGTGCCTGGCTTGTATTCTGCTAGCATGTGCCTTACACAGGAGTTGCAATATTGGTAAACGCTGTAGGAAGTAATCTTCATATAGCAAGCATAGACATACTCCAGACCTCACATCCTACCCTCCCGCGCTTTTAACCCAATTTTCAACCGACCCAATAAAACAAGCCTTCCACACCAACACGACACAAAGCACCTCCCAAACCCCACACCGAAATCCCAAATACAATCCAAAACCACAGCACTTCCATTTCCCAACACAACACCAACCCCCAAAGCACAAAACAAAATCCGAAGCACGACGCTTACCCCAGGCCTCACATCCTATACCCCCCCAACAGTTTTGCATAGTTTTACACAATTCCTCCGCCAGCCTAATGAAACAACCCTTCCAACCCCACAAAACACAAAGCAACCCCAACCATACACACAATATTTCAGAACACAATCACAATCCATAAGCGAGGCCGCAGCTCAAAACCCAAACCCAGATGCGAACACAATCAGACAACCACAAATCCTACCCTCAACTATTCCTTACTGAGGTCCGCGGTATGTCCCCCCCCCCCCAAAAGAAAAATTGACCAACGACTTTAACCCTGAACTAGGACAGGCTCCTCAGGAAGTTATCTTCATCTGAATGTAGCAGTTCTGCACAAACCAAATCGCAAGTGCCAACCAATCGGCTGCTACTGATACTTGGGCCCCCTACATACCCTCATGATAAGATAATCTGATCTTCTATTCTGCAACTTGCAGTCCACAGTCAAAACTGCCCCCGCCCTGATGAGTTCCCGTGTGCAAATTCCAAGATTTGCAGTTGACGCCTAGACAAAAACATTTTGCGGGCAGCTGGCCTTTGGGAAACTTTGGGATGTTCAGCGCAAGTATCCCACAAAGGGTACCCATACCTGGGCCCACCAGTTGTCGTGAGCAGAAATACTTGCATGCGCCCAAATCTAAATTGAAGCCCTACCTGCAGACTGTAGGCGTAAACTCCCAAAGAAACACCCGAAAAGTCTGGTAGCCGGTAGCCATGCATCGTTTTGATCGAGTTGGCCACCCTTTGCGCCTGACATGCTACTTTCTGCAAAGAACAGGTTCATAATTCTTGTTTGGTGCTGTTCTTAATGCATGGCTCTTATCAAGGTTGCTGTTGTTGAGATGTGTGATGCGAGAGTTAACACTGCCAATTCCTTAGCAACTCACGGCCTGAACCTAAACCCTGAACCACAGCCTAACCCACACTCTAAATCGTAAAGCCCTCGCCTTTGGTTTGGAATGTTGGAGCCGCTTAGGCTTGGATACCAAATCTAGTGAGGCAGCTTTCACCAAACCTCGTCCCTCGCAGCCACCGTACAATTGCAAAATGCACTTCCTTAAGCACCCGGCCTATTCATTGCCTTAACCTTAATTTTTCCAGGAGTTTCAAGCCACAAGCCCACAAGCCCTCTTCAGCCGCGCGGGTTCAAGCCTGTACCTAGGCCACCCAAATATGTTCATTGCCACTCGGCCTTTACGCCAACCATTTTAGGTTCAAGACAATTATTCTAGGCAATTGGGAGGTCTAGGCGGTCGTCGCTTCCGGACCATGTGGAGATCGCTCTTCTCCAGCGACGCGCCGCACCCCAGCGACGCTAAGCCATCTCAAAAACCTGTGGCCCGGCGGTCATCGAACTTTAGGCTTTGGAGAAGTAATGTAGGGGGGTTGAACCATTTGAAGTGTATTGAAGTGGGCTTTATGGGGTCGGGCAGGCTTGAGGCCGACGAATTATTGTGGAAGCTGCTATTCAGTGGGCTAGAACGCTTGGAACTGGAGCTTCAGGTGTACTCCCCTGTCCGTTTACAGAAGACTCCAAGCCCTTAACTTTAGATATTCCGAATTATCATATCATAGTACCATGATGGGAGAATTTAATCAGAAAGGTGTCTTGTAAAAGGGGAGGGGGTGAGTGTGGTCTCATTGGGTATATAGCATCTTCGAGAGCATATTGCTGATAAGCATGACACAGGTTGCTATCATGTTGAGGGGTGCATTTCAGGAGCTGAGGAGTATCAGGTAGATTTCGATGTGTCAGTTTGAGTTCAGCACTCGGAATTGCGCACACCAAAGAGGACATAATTTGCTTTCGGCGGCTTATCCATTTTTGTGCACATGATTTTCATGCGCAAGTATCCGCCCCGAAGTAAGGTGCACAAAGCCGGGGTAGGTTGTGAGCCTTCAGGTTGCTAGAGTCATGATTGTATAAGAAGCCTGAGATATCACATTGGGATTGCTCATGCACCCTGACAAACGTGCAGCCTGAAAAGGAGTCACGTGTAGACCATTGTCGTTTGACAAAGGGTTCCATGTTAATTTGGGGAGGACAAGCATTTACGCTTTGGAAGCGCAGTTCAGGGTGGGGTACGCGAGTGAGGAGTCAGCCCAGCTTTCTTAGAGTGCTACAGAGGTTGCGAGACTTCTGTAATTCCTCACATGGATTCGGAAACAGGATTTCCTGTCAAGCCTTTCGAGGACAAAGGGCTCAGGATCTGGTTATACAACACCCTCGCCTAAACTGTACAAGTGTCCAGCGTGCTGTCTAATTAAGCTGCCAGGTCCTCCACGTAAGGTCCTCTTCGGAGAAAGAGCCCTGGCTCCCCGCTGAACCCCGGGATCCTGAAGCAGAATGTAAACGAAATTCAACCATAAAACAGCAGGACGAATGCCGGCTTGCAAATCTCAATTCCTCAGCCCTGGGGCTCAGAGCAGCAAGGCACCTAACCCTTGCAGATGGAGCTTCCTTCAGAATTCTGCCGCCAGAACTGGCCGTAATTCCTCGTATGTGCTGCCCCTTTACTGTCGAAACCCTTTCAGGTACAGCTTCTGGTGTTGCAAGCAGACGACTATGACTGGCCCATGCTTCTCAAGGGGGCCACCCTGCAGGAGTGTTGGGCCTAGGGATTCGGGTTTAGGGATGAGGTGCGCAAGCACAAGCCCTCAATTCTTGGGTCAAGGCAGTTGATCCGTGATTCTTGGAACCCAGATAGCGATACTAAAGCATCATGGGTTTGACTCTGCAGCATTGCTAGCCACCAAGCACTGGCAAGGATTCCAAGTCTCAGATCAGTCCCCGGCAAGAAAGACAGCCTTGCAACAAGGATCCCCCGTCAAGCCCCAAACTCTGAGTCTGAAACCCAAATCTTTTTACCCTTCTGAACCAAAAATCTTGTCCCTCGAGGCCATTTCTTGGTCCTTAGATGTTCCATGTCTTTGTTCGTTTAGATGACAGGATCCGAGACAGCAATACTTGAAGTCCCCAACTAAAATCCCCGCATACTATTCCAGGCCAAGCCAGCTTTAGGTGCGAACCCGCCGCATGTTCCACCTTCAACCCCCAGGCCCAGCTTCATCCTAAAGCCCCTAGAGTTAGAACCCCCCTCTACACTTCCCTAGGACGGTCGACCCATTTCGGTCTTCCAGACAGGCCCGTAGGCTTTTCAGGGTTGTCTAGTGAGTCTAGTTTGCCATGGGATTTGTGGGTCATTTGGGGTAAAAGGCAGTGATTGAGAAGCATGAGCTTAATCAATGTAAATCCTGGTTTTGAGATTTGGAGCTGCAAAGTTATACTTAGAGGCCTCGATGTGCGCAGCGCATGGACAAACAAGATGAACAGAAGCTGCCTAGTATAACTCTTGTGAGGGACTCTGCGATTCGTTATACCCCTACTCCCTCACTGGTTGGCTGGACTTGATCTAAAGCCGCCCAACCCTTAAGGTTAAATGCCCAGTATTAATCACATCATACTACCACAGTAGTGATTATGCAGCAATGGGGTGTTGGATGTTTCTAATGACGGAAGTATTGTGGTAAGCACTGAACTCAAAAGCTTGACATCCAGCCGTTGGAACATAAGAACCAACCTTCAAAGGTACCTGGTGCAGCATACCCTCATTCCGGAATTTCGAAACGCACCCACGCAAGGTTGGGCAGACATTCACGTGCACGCCAGCACGTACTCCTCTAGCGGCATCTGCGTGGAAATCTGTCGACTGGCTGCCTCTGCGACAATGCCAGGCTCTTCAAAAGCTCAACGCAGGATTTTCCGAAACGTTTGGGCTAGGGGGTCCTTTAAGCTGAGCCACTTGCATGTTCTGCGTTTATCAAACAGCATCCCAAGCAAGAACAAAGCATATATGACTTTGAGTGTAGGCATTGTTGGCGCAGGGCAAGCCGATACTTCGGATTTCCGGGCTGTGCTACCAGCTGATAACTGGGGTTCGGTTTGGCGATCTTACTGCTTTTTACGAAGACGTCTGGTTTCCCAAAACACAGAGGACACTGAAACAGATATACAGAGAATACAGAGCCATTAAGCCCTACTATGGATGAGAGAGGGGACTTTTGATAACTTCGCATGCGTTCCAACACAGCAGAAAGTCGAGAACCTCTTGCAAGGCAGCACTAGGGTTCAGGGTTTATGGCCGACTGTTGCGTAAGACTTCGAAAGGAACAGCCGGGTATGCTAATTTGGGATTTGTGCATATGGTCCTGCGAACCTCGTATCTGTACTTTCTCAGCTCCTAGGCCTAGGCCTTCCCTGCTCGCGAAATGCTCCATCTTTCTGAACCCCAAAATCATGAAGCCACTCAACCGCAAACCCTAAAATCCTGGAGAGTGGAACGCTCTCGTGGCCCCATTTTGGGTGGGCTAGAAGATCGATAGCTCCCATCCCCTTCCCTGCGCAACCTGATCCTCTATAAGCCACGTTCGCCTTTCCCATGAAATTCGAATACCAACGGAATCATGTTTACCCTGCAAATACGCGCTTTCTCCTTCTTTATTGCAGCTGAGAGTCCAAAGCCAACATTTTCCTATGCACGCAAAACTGGGGCCGCAAGAGTGTGCTTCTCTGTAAGTTAGACCCCTTGTAGACAACCCTTCACTCCCAACGAGCCATGTTTCAGGCTTACAAGTTGGACGGCGAATTACAATCCAGCCAGATTTCGTCCTGGTCCGGAATGAGGCAAGTCTCAGTAATTTAGGATCTACGGGAGGATGAGCACTTCAGGGTTTAGGGTGGGCTTTGGAGGTTGGCCGCTCTGGGGTTTTATGGGGGTTTAGGCGAGCAGGGTTACTTAAGAGTTGAGGATGGTTGAGGAGTCCGGGTTTGAAGTCCAGAGTTCTCAGCTTTCCTTATAACGGATCTGAGACTTTGCCTCCAAACTTGCAAGCAATCACAGACCCCCGTCTATAGTTGTATAAGGTTTTTTGTCTTGATGGTTTTGGTCCTTCATTCAGGGTTGAAGGTTTGGGCGTGAAGCCTGGCCTTTGAAAGTGGCACGGTGCTCTGAGGGAGCTTCAGGAAGATATAGGGAGGGCTGTTGGCATAATCTTCCGGTAGGAATGACAATTCCGCCGGCTGCTTGTTGAGCCTGGCGCGGTCGGGGAACTGCCATGTAGACTGTAGTAGTAGACCTTTGTGGGATCAACCTTGATCGCTTCACACACGGATTGAAATTGGGATCCTAACTAACATTGAAGTCCTTGCTGGATAGCAGGCCTGCGATAGCGGTCAGCATTGGCAAGATGTCATCCTGCCTGAGGTGAAGACCCCCCTTTCGATGGCCGGGGAAGATTGAATGGCCTGCTGTTCGCAGACGTCCCGGCGATGAACTCGCTTGAGTCGATCCTCATGTTCTGCGAGAGGCGAGAAAGTAGAAGTACTCAAAGACCGGGCTTAGGCCAATTCAGGCTTTCTGAGTAAGCATAGAGAACATATGCAATGATGCTACATTCCCAATGATGCTACATTCCCCGCGGCTACACTTCTTCTTGAGGTGAAGACCCCATCGCTTAGAGCCTTTTTTGAGCGTATGGCGTTAGCGGCTCAGCAATGAGGAAAGCAAAAATCATGGGGAGAGGCGGAACCAATTCACCGTGCCCCAAGCTGCTTGGAAGCCGAAAAAGGGCCTTGCAACGGCCATTGTCATTTTGATCTTAAGGGCGTCTATTGGGCAGCCATGCCTGTTTGTTGGAGGGCAACAGGAAGGAAGAAGGAGAAGCTTGCTCTTAAGACGGGCTCCGAGTCTTGTCAGCGTCGTTATGGCGTCGAACGCGGCAAGTGTCCTACACTTATCTGGGCTAATGCTTGGCTTTCCTTCTTACCATTTCCCATGCAGGTTTGTGGTGATTGAGCACTTAGATTTTAACCACCACCACAACTTGTAGGTTGCTGCACCAGGGATCCTGACCCCAAACCTGATAGCCCAAAGTCTTGCAGATTGCAAACCTTATAACTTAATTGTTCCTATCCCTCAGGACCATGCTACCTCCTGACTATTGTCAGCGCTGAAAAGGTGTAAACGATCTCGTACCCCCCAGCAGGCCAAATGCCCCAAACTCTGCGTGTCCCAAGTCTGCCAAGCTAGCAGCATGCTTTCAATGACTCACAGCTTTCAATGTGATGCAGCAACTTGACTTATACTTCCAAACATGGGGAAGCAGCTCTCATTTTCATGAAAGGCTTTTCTGCATGAAGGGGGTCCTTGGGCTCCCTGAAGCCGTCAGCTGGATTGGATTTCAAACATCTTGTCCGTTGTATTGGCTGCAAAACTTACAGAACACTTGCAGGTTAGTATGACTTCACTCTATGTGTTATATATATACACAGATATCCGTTAGATGTAGCAGGATCATCATCCCACCTTGTAAGCGTCCTTGATGAAGACTTGTCAATCGAAAGGGTCATGGTTTCATTCCAGACCTTGACCTTTCAACGAAACACTTCTCTACCTGAACTCTATAATTACACTGAACCCTGCTTTGGCTCACCGGAGCCTTCAGCCTGACCTTTGCAGGCCAGCAGTTCAGGGCCAGCTGCATCGACTTGAGCGGCGATTGGGCAAGGAGAAGGTTTTTTTGGTAATAAGTCAGTTTGCTTTATAGCTGCTACATTGATGATTTGATGTAGTCCTCTACTGTAAGCGGGCGTGGATCTCATTCATTTTAGGGTTTGGGCTCGGTCAATCAGGATCCTGAGATCCCGAGGTCCCGAGACCTCGACGATTTTATGGGAAATGCGCACGCTTGAGCTATTTTAGGGAATTGTGTTTTTGGGGGTTTGGCCATCAATATTTGGGCCGAGATGGGTGAGTGTAGCTTCAGGATTTAAGGTGTTTTGAGTCTTCAGTTTGAAGTGGTCAGGGTCTTGAGGTCCATGGGGTTCAGTGTGTAAGACATGTATCCAGGACTTCTCTGCGGACTACCACGTACTGGGTTCAAGGGTTTGGGAGTTCAGGATCTTAGGTTTTCCGGGTTAAGGGCCAGGATTGCCAGTGACATGCTGGGAAGCTAGATTCAAGCCGCAGGTTTGCTGAGAGACAAGAGCTGAACCAGAGCCAAATGAATCAGAGAGTTTAGAGTGGACTCCCCAATCTGGATGTCTTGCTGCATTAATTACTCGGTGGCTTATCTTGAGCAACATCCTAGCGACGGACGTGCAGCCCCTCCAAACTGGCAAGGAGGCCACCAACCCAGCTACTTGGTTAATTCCGAAGCTGCAGGCCCTGTCCGGACCTCCCTCCTTTAGGGGTCGGATTTCGTTGCTGTAGAATGTCTGCACACAGGATTGAATATCCGGAGCACGTATCTACGAACGAATTGTGGGCATGTTTGTGGGAGTGCCCAGAGGATGCCTTCCCGGTGGTGCCTCAGCACTTCTGCCGCTCTTCGCAGTTAGAATCTCAAAGACAGGTGAATTCCTTTCGCTTAGGTACATTTCTCTGCGTTCATGCTCCAGGACATTATTCATCACATTATTGCAATCAGTAGTGGTGATTGCTTCTGTTGGAAGCACATTATGGGCCTGGGCTATAGAACACCTGCATATAGATAATATGGTCTGCATGGAACAGATTGCGGCAAGGTGTCCTGATTGAGATCTTGCTTGTTGAGCGGGATTCTCAAGATATGCGTGTGGTACTGTCTGCGAAATTTGGGGAAGGCTGAGATCCCAATTTTGCATGATTGCCTTAGAATGGGCTTGCAGATTCTTCAAGAGAGAGGCAACCACCCTGGAAATGAGTGGACAGGACAAACGCGGTCACAGTGCAATTTACATACAGGTAGAGCATCAGAGTTTCCCCATCTCTTTCGAGTATTCGGAGCAACGCAGAGAAAATGGAATTCCTGCGTTCGCTCGATTGAGTTGCATAACAAGCCTGAGGAATAAGAGAAGGGAAGGTACACCTGCAGCTAGAATTTCATAGACATGTTGTTCCTCACGGTACGGAGATTTCCAAGTATGAGTCCGCTGTCAGGAGTCCCAAGAATGACTATATGGGTGCCCCACTCCTGTATGCTCCCTATGGTCTTGGTTCGCAGCCTTCGTGCTGGGTTAGGTTCTGATGCACTTGTTGACATCTAAGCCAAGAAGATGCCCTGGCACGTCTGAACCCAAGAATGCGAGGACCAATCCACGAGCCTGACTGACAAATTAGTCAGCTCATGTTATATTATGCTTTACCCATACTACATTATATTATACAGGGATAGTATCATGTGGCCCCCCAAGTACCGTGCCAATCATGTAAGTCCTTGCTTTCTAGAAGAAGCCCCAGGTCTATTGCCATCACAGTTTAGGCCTTGAGGTTGAATGCCCCCTGAACTCTCAGCCCTTCTCCATACTTGTTCAGGTTCTTCGTCCAAATGCTTGCTGCAACCCGGCCATTCTCTGGCAAAGTCTCCGGCGACTGTAGTGAAGACACTTTCGCTGCCCGAAACCTTAGTCGAATTCTGGCTTTAGTGTTGAAACCAAATCATGGAGTCCTGCGCAAGCAGCTATTTCCCGAAAAAAGGCAGACCTTCTCAATATCCAGGACCGTCGGGCTTTGCATTTACGATAACCCAAACGTGGAATCAGGACTCCGTGACACTCCCCATGGGTTTCACAATTGTTATGGGAGCTTCTGCGTGCTTAATTCCCAAGTCGTGGCTTCATCAAAGTATATGTATAGGAATATGCTTCAGAGTCCGAGTAGAAGATATTTTGTGGGCCATCATACAGGATTGCGTAGCGCTGGAATTGCTCGCTCCGGGCAGGCAGGTTTAGTAAGCACCTTCAACTGCTGGAGGCTGTGTGTACGTCTGTCCGCACCCAAGTAGTGTTTTGTTTCGCACGGGGATGCTATAGTCCTCAGTATAGAGTAAGATCATTGTACGCTCCTTTCGGTCATAGTATATGTTGTCGCAAGAAAATGTGCTTACGTGGTTCAGCAAACCGAAGAACCCCACTTGGGATTCCCACCGTGAGTTTTACACATAACCCTATTCAAGCTTAAGAGGTGCCTGAAAAGGAGTCCGTTCCTGAAACTCCAAAGCTTGTACCATGCCGTCAATGTGTTTAATAGCGACAGCAGATGTTTGGAGGCCTCGCAGAGAAGACTTCCCATGTGGGTAGGGGAATACTTGTTGAAAGGTCTTAGATGAGCCCACTAGAAAGTCACCCTTGCAAAGCAAATCAGGATGATGAAGGACAAGGACGAGGAATTAGCGGTTTATTCAGAAGGCCCATAAAGTTATCGTTTCAAGCTTAGCTAGCAGTCATCTTGGAATATCTTGGACTTTCCAAATTGGCTATATCACGGTATATCCAGCAACCTAGAGTCCTAGAGACGGGGGGACCTACCTATTTCAATGTGTCTTGCAGTCCGCTCTTTGGTACAGGAACTATAAGGCACTTTTTTTTGGAAAGCCGCAGTTCACAAACATTTAGAGATTCACTCGCGTTCTGACGACTTGGTCAAGAAGGGAGCCAGTGATTTCAGAGTTTGCTTTCAGGACAGCCGAGGGAGCTCCTTCCTTGAAAGTTCAGGCTTCAGTGTCTAGATTTTTCTGTTTAACATATCCCTCAAGCAAAGAGTCTAAGTCCGTACTTCAATCACGTCTTTGATAACTCCCATGTCCTGTAAGGCAGATAGTGTATCAGTGCAGTATTTGGTTAAAAGCCTGTTAAAAGCCTTGAAACCCTTCATGCCCCCTGATCCCTATGACCCCATTTCAAGAGCCAAATTCAGGTATGGCTACACCTTCCCAGCAGTGGTAAAGGTGGGCTCTGCTCATGCGGGCGTTGGAAAGATGAAGATCCACGACCACAGGCAGTCATGCTGAAGATGGGCCTTAGGATTAAGTCCATTTAGATTCTGCAGCAGCGTTTAAGGATCAGGGTTCGAGTTGAGGTGTTCGGCAGTCAGGGTACGGGGGCGCTTGCCAACTTGAATTTGACCCAGTAGACTGCAAACCCAACGCCTCCAACGCATTGTGGAGTACCTTAAGGGGCCCCTACAATCTTATCATAAGCCCTCACATCACTAGAGTGGGGAAGAGTAGCTGACAAGGCAGATGAGTGACTTCCGCTCAGTGCTGGAGATGATGCCAGACGAGCACTGCATGGTGGAACCCTTCATTGAAACCCAAGGTGAAACTGTGGGTTCTAAAAAGGCAACATGGACCTCCATAGTGAGTCGGGCCATCTTGCCCTCCTAGACTGATTCATTATAATTGCCTCATCTTCTCCACAGAATTTCGCCAGGTAGCGTCAGGCCAAAAGGCCGCAATATCGTGATGGTAATTTCTACCTACACGAGCGTTACATCAAAATACATGAGTGAACACCATCTTCACCTGAATTATGCTGTGTTGCTTGCACTTCTACGACAAGACTTACGTTAGCAGCTGAACGAGTACGGTTTTATTTGAGCTGAGGGATGTTCTCGTGCTCTTGCAAGGAGCGTGTTGGGTGAAGACATTTCTCACCCTACTGAAGTCGAACTCAGAAACTGAGGGCCTCGTAGTTTCACTCTCACCAAGCCACACAGGCTAAGTACTGTACGTTAGGAGACTGCAAGGTATTGCTGTAGTTGATTTCTGTTTCGGGGATAAAGACATCTGGGATGGAATCCCTGCAGGGCCATTTGCATCGGCTGCTCTGGACGAGTGATTGCAAGACACACACACACAAAATTAAGACATGAGCAGCTTATGTGCGCAGACCCTGTATGCTGGTCAGGCCTCTCAATGCCCAGTGCACTACTTCATTAGGATTTCGTTCTACTGTTTAAGTTCTCCTTGTTTCTATCTTTGATCCACACTATTCTTGTGACTTTGAGCGCCATTCAGAGGAGATCTGAGAATTCAGAAGATCGGCGATCACTATCGTGCCTTCAAACGCTTGGGACTTTCTGGGGACTGGAAGACGAACACCTGTACCGCGATTATGGATGCTTGGCCTCAAAAGTCTAGGTGTGTGTGTCTCAAAAACAAAACCAGCGGCACATGTTCCGTAAAAGAGGTCTACGCAAACTTAGTCTGCTTGAAATCCGCGTATCCTCCTTGGGGTCTTTAAGGGCCCCAACTACGGAAACACGGCGTTTCCTTTTGGTTCAGGGACTCAGATTTTACAGCAAAGGTGTCACGATTTGCCGGCTAAAAGGGCACGACTACGAAATGTATGCAAGTCCTGGAGCATCATAGAACTGCTGTAGAGATACGAACCTACAACAGGAGGCCTAGAAGGGCATGTTCTCAAATTTTGGCTCCTTTTGGTCTGTACGTTGCAGATTTGAGAGTGCATGTCGGAAATTGCAAGCTTAGGATGAGATCGAGTGCATCGAGCGTGCCCTGACCGCAGCGCAGTCTCAGTTTCACAAAAATTCCCTGAGAACAGTCATGAGCATAAAGAGTCAGGAGTCTCGGTTGTCAAACACAGGCATGACTGTAATTTGAAGAGCTGGTGGCATTTGGCGACAGCATTTTACTTTCAGCCCTATCATTGCATTGAAGCTCGCTTGCATGCATTGTCCTGTATGCTCCTAGGGTTTAGGGTGCTAGATTGCGGAGGCTTCCATGCGCCCATTTGGGTAGTCCTTGTGCATCCTTGTTACTGAGGCTACGATGCCTTCAGACCTGACCTCCAAACCTTCATTCATAGACCGGAAACCTGCAACTCTAATCCCTAGACCATCCTAGACCACTGACCCGAAACACTACAAGCTGGGGCCTTAGAAGTTTTTCTTCAATCCTGCAGGAACATTCAATCCTGATCTGTAGGCCCTGGAGCTTCGATCCTACGCCCCATTCCCTGGCACAACAGCCGTCACTTTTCAAGACAGGGACAAATACTGTAGAAGAAGAAATCTGTTGTTCGAGCAAAGCACCTGAAGACTCTTATTCTGGCACGTGTCCAACCTGGCCATACCTGGCCTACAAGGAAATGGAGGATAAGAATGCGAGCTTGGTCTTTCAGGCCCTGAAACCATAAATCCACGAGGACAAGCATCATCTTGCCTCAAGAAAGAAGTTCGAAACACGAACAGACAAACCAAAGTTAGGCTTGGCAGGGAGGCTCCCCCAAAAGTCCCGTTGTGTTGCGCAGTGCAGTCAAGCCTGTGAACTTGGACATATCCACAAACCGCCCCAACCTTACAGAAAGCTGCGCAAAGAAAGGGGGCCCCAGCCTAGCATCTTGAACGAGATGTACCTGGCCCAACCCGAGCTCAGGGCCCAAAACCCTTCAGTTTTCTCCATTAATTTCATGCAAGGGTACCGCAGATGGGCAGATGCTGCTGCGGAAATGCTGCTTGGTGCACTGTTATGAATGATGAAAAGTATGATCTAAAATCGAGAGCGATACGTTCATTTGAGAACTTAACGCATAGACGGAGGCGTCGTTCGCATTTTTTTCAGATGGAGGTCGAGGCACACCACAAAAGGAATGTGCTTTGTTCCTTGCGCACGAAACCTTTAAACAGCCAGGGTCCAAAAGAAGTGGACGCCGTCGCACCTAAACACCCCGGGGGCTCCAAATCCTGCAAGCCTTAGAAAGCCCTGAAATCCCTTCATTCCAACACCCCCCTAGCCCTAAACCCAAAACCCTACACGCCACCACTCGAACTTAGGTTTGGGGGTTTAGACATCCTGACCGTCGACGCCATCATCGAAGAGGGCACCGGGCAGGAGTTGATCCTGGAGGCCCTTAGCTCCGGCATGGATTTACATGATAATTGGAGTTTATGCGGGATTTGTCAGGCGCTAGGGGGACCCTTAAAAATGTAACTTGGGGGGGTTCCCCTAAATTCAGAAGTATGCGAGCTACGATTCGGGTGTGCCCCCGTGTGGTTACATTCTTCGTGTGGTTGACAGCTGAACGCCCTTTCATGGGGTAAGGAAGGGGTCACCTTCCCGACCCCCCCACCCCAAGTATATACATTTCCGCGTTTTTCGCATGTCAGTTTTGGATAGCCGCTAAGACTTTTCAGCTGGCCGCTGCTTTCGATGGTGAAGCCCTATCCCCAAGCGCCTAAAGCACTGACGACTAAAAAGCCTACTGATCCCCCAAAACCGTTAACCCTACAACCCACAAGCCCTAAATCACCTAAACCCTAAGACGCCTGAACCCTAAAAAAGCACTCAACCCAAAAACAGCTAGACCCTAGGACCTCTGAACCCTAAAACCCTCACAAAAACACTAGATGCGAAACACACCAGTTGTCTTTGGATCGAGGGCTTTTAGGGTTCAGGCGTCTTAGGGTTTAGGTCATTTAGGGCTTCGGATTTGTTGGGTTTCGGGGTTTGTGGCTTCATCAGGGTTTGGGTTTCAGGGTTAAGTGTTTTAGGATTAAGGAGTTTTTGGGTTTTTAGAAGGTTTGTATATGCCTTGTAGCTTCACCAGTCGAGTAGCTGCCCTTCATACAGCCATACCCCTCTCATTCATGTAACTGTACTCTCGCCAAGAACGGCTAATGGATGAGTAGAGCAGTTCTATTGTTAGACAAGCCCAAGTTGGCAAGAGGTTTCCAAAGAGATAGCAGGAGATGAAATGTAACTTGAAGGGGTGTCCGAAGTGTAGCTTGGGGCGGTTCCAGCAGTACGAGACTAATGCCGAAGCCGCGTGTAGAGCATATGAATTTTAACATGGGGGGGTCAGCGACGAAGCCCGGCAACCAAGGAGGTCCCCCCCAGCCCCCCACAACACCCCTCTAGGTCATGCCGGATTGGGGGGGAAAAGGGGCTTTTCGTTTTTGTAGGAGATAGTTTGTTGGTTTGAACTTCACGCGTTTGCGGATGGGAGCTTTGGGAGTGTGATATGGGTCATATGGGTAGTTGATAAAATGAAGGTCCCGGGTGGCGTGCACAGAGTTGACAGCGGTGGCGTGTTCAAAATATGGGCCGCAGATCTCACAACTAGTCAGGCCTGGACTTAGACTGTGGTGCTTAGGAAGACTGTGAGAACCCTACAGTCCATCTCGAAGAAGCACTAAACAATTAACGAATTTATACTGCTCGCCTTATGGTCTTATCGGATCATCTAAAGGTTGACGGGGGCACGCTCATCCTTGTGACTGTTGGCACTAAATTGCCATGCAATGATCATGTGACAACTCAAAAACGACGACAGCTACAAGGATGGCGACCCAGACCCGCCTGATCCCTGTGATTGTTGACCCTTTTGACACGCAGACAGGATGTGAGAGCCCAAAAACGATGACAGTTGTGTGGATGGTGACCCCGACCCGCGTGATCCCTGTGACAGTTGACACTTTCGACACGCAGAAAAGATGTCAAAACCCAAAAGCGCTGACGTTGTGAGGATGGCGACCCCGACCCGCCTGATCCTTGTAACTGTTGACACTTTTGACACGCTCACTTACCAGTGCTCGCAATCTTTTTATTTACTGTATTGTATTCTTCTAAGAGGCGCAAGTGTAGCTGATGCTGCAATACTCGTAGCTTTACAAAAATTCCAAATGCAATTCACTTTACCTCCCAACAGTTCCAACTACTGTGCCGTATTTGTAACCTTTCCCAGAACTCGAAATGCCGATATTTACAATGTCGGTAGCCTTTCAAGAAGTGCAAATGTCAAGAACTCCAAGCATACAGAAGCATGTAGGTGCTTGCGAAACTGGGCTTCAAAAAACAGTGGGGTTGGAGAGGAGCATTGCCCTACTTTCTCATTTGATAAACGTGGGCAGCAGTAAAACACGTGGAACGTATAGGCTACTTAAAATCAACATAATAAGTTTGGGTCAAATTTGCCAGGCCATTGCTTGCAGCAAAAACAAAAGGTTGCAATACAGGGTTTGTAATTCCAGGAAAAAAAGGACTCCCGAGCAGTGTGCTGCCATTACAAAATAGCAGGGGGTTGGGGGTGGCGCAGCCCGCCCTTCGCAAAACATGCAGAAGATGCATCTTCTTGTACAAATATGATTAGATGTCGCAAGTTGGGCAAATATGGGAACAAACACAGGGGGGGGGGTTGGGGAGGCCCCGCCCCATTTGCAAAGCATGGGCAAAGATCAGAACATGTCGCTTCTTGCGCCCTTTGATAGGTTGTGTGTTGCATTGTGCTTGCCTTACGAAATAGGAGATTTTTTGAAATTTTGCATCGTGCTTGCACTTCGAAATAGCTGGGGGGTCGGGGGGGGGGGGGCAGCCGCGACTAGTCCCAGAATGCTGAACTATGGCTATTGCCGAATATCAGGGTACAAGGAACCGAACAAGGCCAATCCATATTTTCTAGCTATGGCTGTTCCCAAATTTCACGTACAAGGAACCAGAAAAGGCCAAATGATCATAGTTAGCCATGACAATTCCCGAATATCAGGGTATGCATGACATGGAATCAGAGAAGGCCAGATGACAATACTTAGCTATGATTATTCCCGGGTTTCAGTGTACACGGCACCAGAAAAGGACAAATCACAATACTTAGCTATGACTACTAATGTTTAGCTATGATTATTTCGGAATTTGAGGGTACAAGGCACCAGACAAGGCCAAGTCATAATAGTTAGCTATGACCGAAGAGCTTTTTTTGTCAAGGGGCTTTGTAAGATCTGCCATGAGCATGTTGGGCCTGTTAACTCGTTGATCACGCTGCTGAAGTGTCCTCACGGTTTTTGCAATTTTCTGCCCCTCAAGCCTTGATGCGTGCCATTTTTGATTGCCTGTAGCTGCCGGAGTCACGTGTAAGCTCAACATCCTACCGGTCTAGATTCTGGAGCCCTGGCCGCTTAGAGCCCTGCGCGAAGACAGTAGAAATGTGAAGGTGTTTGGGTGCTGGGATGAGAGAGAGAGAGAGAGGTAGGGGGTTTGCATCAATGGGGCCTGGATAAATGAACAGGATCATCCGCAGTTCATGGCTCCAATTCTGACACGCCCAGACCCAAGCCTCAATCGCCCTGATCGAGACTCTTCACGTTGCTACAACTCCTCCACAAGAGTCCTTACACAAAGGATCTCATCGAACGTAGCGTGGCAAGTGGGGCGGTAGCTTCGGCGCTTTGATTTAGCCAACCCCCCTTCCACTGTTAAAAGCCCCCACCCACTGGCGTAGATATTCCCAATTTAGTGCTAGTATACTCTGGCGTAACATTCATTATTGATTAGTGGGGTTAGGGGTGAAGGGATCCACAGAAGAACGCCCAAAATTTCGGGTCATGAATCTTGGTCCTCATACCCACCCTGAAAAACCCTGCCCAGTAAGTCCAAAAAGGTCTGTATGCGTCACCGCAACAAATTGACATATGGCCCGCTTGCAATCCCTGGCCCTTTCTCTCTGGATACTCACCTGGAAGATACCTTGCAACCAAGCATGACAGAACCTTGGGTACT